TAAAATTGTTATATCTTCTTTTTGGATTGATTCCTTTATCATTCTATAGTAACCATCTTTGTCTTTTTTTTTTACTGTTGTTAATTTAAAATTTGCTTTATCTTGGTATGAGAATGTCTTTTCCTTGGTTGCTTTTGGTTTCTGTTTGCATGAAATATTTTTTTCTCATCCCTTTACCTTGAGTCTATAGAAGTCTGTGTGCCAAGTGGGTCTCTTGAGACAGCAGATATTTGGATTGTGTTTTTTAAAATCCATTCTGCCAGTCTGTACTTTTTAGTGGACACTGAGACCATTTATGCTCAGGGTTAATAATGATATATAATATGCTATTCCATTCATCTTGCTGGTTGTTATTTGGTTGCTTTATTTATGTGTTTATTTCTCCATTTTGTTGTTGTTCTATACATCCTGTGAGCTTTACGTTTTTCCATTGTTTTTCTACTGGTGTATTTTGACATTTTAATCCAGTATTTAAAACTCCTTTGCGTATTTCTTGAAGACCCAGTCTACTGGTAACAATTTCCTCAGCATTTCCTTGTCTGAGGAAATTTCTCCTTCGTTTGTGAAACTAGGTTTGCGGGGTGTAAGAGTCTTTTGTATTAGAGTGTTACTCTGTTTTAGGAGATTAAAGATTGGGCCCCAGTCCCTTCTGGCTTTAGGATGTCTTCTAAGAAGTCTGCTGCTAGTCTGATGGATTTACCTTTTCTAAGTTATTTAGTGCTTTGATTTCACTGCTCTTAAAATTCTTTCACATTAACTTTGTATAACCTCATGATTATATGCCTTGGGTATGAACTTTTTGCAGTGAATCTTCTGGGCTTTTTGGGGGACTTCTTGTATCTGTATGTTTCAATTTCTGGTAAAGCCAGGGAAGTTTACCTCCATTATTCTCTCAAACAGATTTTCCAAACCTGTTGTCTTCTCTTTTTCCTGAGAAACATCTATGGGTCATAGGTTTGGACATTTTACATAATCCCATATTCCTTAGAGACTTTGTTCTTCATTATTTTTTCTTTATTGTTGTCTGATTAGGTTAATTCAAATGCCTTTTCTTGAAGTTCTGAGATCCATTCTTCTACTTGTTCTAGTCTACTGTTAAAACTTTCCATGGATTTTGTACTTCTCTAGATGATTCTTTCACTTCCAGAATTTTAGCTTGGGTTTTTTCTTTTTAAGATATCTGTCTTTGGCTGGGCATGGTGGCTCAAGCTTGTAATCTCAGCACTTTGGGAGGCCGATGTGAGGGGATTACCTGAGCCCATGGATTCAAGCCCTGGGCAACTTGGTGAGACCTCATCTTTACAATAAAAATTAAAAAATTAGCCAGGCATGGTAGTTCTCTGGCTACTTGGAAGGCTGAGGTGGAAGGATCACCTGAGCCCAGCGGGTTGGTGCTGGGGTGGCCATAGCGTGCCACTGCTCTCCAGCCTGGGTGATGGTGAGACTCTGACTCAAAAAAAAAGAAAGATGTATCTTTTAGGAGAAATTTTCATTCATGTCCTGAACTATTTTTGAAATTTCTTTATGTTGGTTTTCAACTTTCTCCTGAATCTCATTGAGCAATTTTATAATCAACCTTTCCAATTCTACCTCTGGAATTTCAAAGATTTCGTTTTGGTTAGTGCTCATTGCTGAAGAGTTGGTGTGGTCTTTTGGGACTGTTGAACTCTGTTTTTTTTCATATTTTCAGAATTATTTTTCTGGTTCCTTCTCATTTGGGTAGACTGTTTTTTCTTATGTGATGTTGGCAAGAGGCTGACATAGGCACTGTAGGGTTCCCTTAGTTATATGAGGGGTGGACCCCAAAAACCCTGGAATTTATTTATACAAATGTTTTATTTATTTATTTAGAGTCGTAGTCTCATTCTGTTGTCCAGGCTGGAGTGCAGTGGCACACTCACAGCCACCACAGCCTCGACCTGCTAGGTTCAGGTGATCCTTCTGCTTCAGTCTTCTGAGTAGCTGGAACTACAGGTATGCGCCACCAAGCCCAGCTAATTTTTTGGTTTATTGTAGAAACAAGTTCTCGCCAAGTTGCCCAGGCTGGTCTTGAACCCCTGAGCTCAGGCAGTGCTCTTGTCTCTGCCTCCCAAAGTGCTGGATTACAGGTGTGAGCCACTGCACCCAGCTCTAAATTTATTCTTACATGTTTATACTTCAGTCACCTTCAAAGTATTCTCCTTTTGATGCTGTACACTATTGAGATGGTTTTTCCACTGCTCAAAACTGGTTTTGAACTTATCAATTATGATGTCTTTGAATGCTTCTGCCGTTTTTTGTTTCACCTTTTCCATATCAGCAAAACATTTCTCCTTGAAGACTTTTTTCATCTGGGGAAACAAAAAAAGTCACTCAGAGTGAGATCAGTTAAGTAGAGAGGGTGGGGCATGGGGGGTCACTCCTTTTTTGGTCAAATAATGATTTACAAGTGCGATGTGGGCAGGTGCGCTTGTAAATTACCCATTATGAAATATGCAAATGTGTTGAAAGAATCTCCAAAAAAAATTCACACAGCCTCTCAAAACATTGCTAGCTGGTACCATGATGCCAATGGTTTCCTAGAACACTCATCTTGCAGAGAAAGCCTGTACCATAAGGGCTCACCCTCCAATAGATAATTTCAACTTTTGAGGGCGATCCTCCCTCATATATAGCCTTGGTATGGTGAGTTTCTTAATTGCTATCGGTGGGGGTTCTGTGTTAGGTACTTCCACATGCTCAAGGTGTCCTGGGTGGCGTGGGTGGCATAGATGCTGGTGTTAGCTGGAGTCTGAAATCAGACCTTCCCCAGAGCTGAGGTATTATAACAGATCTAATGGGCTTTGTTGTTGACCTTTAGCTAGGAGATGTCACTTGCAGGAGAGAGTCAGCTGTAATAGTAGTTGTGGGCTTTCTGTTTGGCTTGCGCTGCTCCATGGAAGTGCCTAGCTAACTTAGGCAGTGGGCAGGGCTGTGGGGATTACCAAGTTCTCTGTCTGTTTGGAGCCTTTGAGAGGGGTGCAGAGGCTGTGAAGGAAAGAGCTCAATCCCTTCACTTGTGTGCACTCTTGTCTACCCCAGTGGGGACTGGTAGGGTATCTCCAGCCAATGCTGTTGAGCTGAGGCTGCACATAAGAGTTTAGGTTTGAAAGGTTGCTATGGCATTGAGTCCCACCTAGCTTTTTCACCTTAACCTCAGGCAATCTGTGTTCTGAATGTCAAAGTGCAGCCGACCTCAGTCAGGTATTCTCTTGCTAGCCTGCCCCAGCCAGGAACTGTGTGCCACCATTGAGTTTGTCCTTGGGGTTGGTACCCTCCCAGGCTGGCTAGAAAGCAGTTTCCAGAAATGGTTAGGTTCCTGAGATATGACCGCTGAAGCTGCTCAGGGGTTTTTGTTTTTTATTTCCTGTACCACTCCATGTGGGTTTTTGCATTCCATGTGGATTTTGGCAGGGCGCAGCTGTAGGTAAGACAACTTTCTGTGAGGGACTGGAGTCCTGCAAGGCTCAGGGGGCCCTCCATATCTGTGGCAGTAGCATAGCATTCCTGAATTCGCTTCACTCACCTTCCCCACTGAGTCTGGAGGCTGCCTGTGGTCTTATGCCATGATCCAGGTGAGACTCTGGCCAGTTCCAACCTTTGCCGATTGATTTCTCTCTTCTTCACTATGTGGCTGTTATCACTTATTTAATGTGTTGTGGGACACACTGGCAATCCCCTTTCTTTCTGAGTGCTGAGGAAACTTCTCTGTCTTGGTTTACTGCATTGGAGATACACATTCTAGCTGCCTCTAGTTGGCCATCTTAATCTTTTGTCTTTTTTAAAAAAAAAATCAGGCTTCACTAGCTTATTTCAGGGGTTTTTGTAAACCAGAGTTAGGAAAGTGTTGGCTAGGGGATATGAATATTAGTTTTACATGTAGGTCACAGCTGACTGTTATTTGACTGCAACTGTGGGTCTTTTCATTTGAAATATTGAGGAGAGTTAAATGTCTCACTTGTAACTTTCTCGGTTCCCAAATTTTTAAAAGGAATTAATTTCTTCAAGAGAGCAACTGATAATATTAATAAATTGTTATTGACAATAGTCTTATAAGAGTGCTTCCTTAAAGGAAACATTTAGATAAAGAGAGAGCTGTTTTCTGTGTGAGCTTGTATCATATGTGGTATGTAAACTACATTCTCTGATATCCATGTAGTTACTGCATGTGCTCTATTTTGATGTTAGCCTTTTTTTTTTTCCTTTTTCTTTTTCTCACAGCTGGCCTTCATATTAAGTATTTTATCAATGCTCAAAAGAGTTTACTTTTACTCTTTCTGGAATAAAATAAAATTTTATGAAGGTGGAACAAAGTGGATAATGGAATGGTGTTTAGGCCTCTGGGCAGAAATATACTCTGGAATTCTGGCAAGGGACATCCAGGGATAGGTAATGAAGCCAAGATCTAGTGAATATTCAGAAGTCTGGCATAGCAATGCATACAGGCTGAGGGGTGAGTAGGGTCTTTCAGGAGTTAGAGGGAATAGAACCAAAAAAATTCTGAATTTTAGGCTTAAAAATAAAGAACAAACATTGTGCCAACATGTACTTTCTGTCTAATGGCATACTAAATATAAAAGCATCATGGCACATTGGTAACAGTCATTGGTATTGTTATTTTTCAGTTGTCATATTTAACTGATTTTTCAGATAGGTCTATGTGTTACCAATTTCTGATAGAAAATCTGATGGTTCACTGCAACATTTTTGCTACCAGTATTTACTCTTTCAGGTGGTATTTCTTGACTGAATCTGTGTCTGCAAATATATTTACTGTGTTGAGTGCAAATCAGCTAGTTGCCACAAGTTACTTTTCTGGAACATATCACTTTGATTAAAAGATGTGTTAGCTTTTTGTTTGAATGGGGGTAATTTTCCTGTATATAGTTTGTATCTTTTAAATCAGTAACATGTTTGTAGGCTCCATACTAAGATTGGAAACTATTTGTAAATAAGCATTTGTGAAGTTTTCCTCTTTTCTTGCAGGTGTATTCCAGAGAGTAAATCTCCAAACATCTTTGCTGCATTGACGCTGAGCTGTCAGGGGACTCAGGCTTATGAGGAGGTATTGTCACACAAAACAGTGTCTAGTGGAGACAACAAGAAAGAGAGGAAAGGATCGGAGAAAGAAGTTAAAATACTATAGAAAACCATGGTAGGTTATTATGTGTATTTTCTCAGTTTAGTTACAAAATATTCCAATAATTTAAAATTGGAAGTGTTAACAGTGAAGGCACATAGAAAACAAGAGTGTTAATTTTTGGCTCTAGTGCATCAGATAAAGATGGCGCTCTACTGTTTAAGCAAAGCAAATGATTTCAGATTTATTACAAGCCTTTTAAACCACAAGTTGGAGCCCCATGAGGCTGCAGGCCATAAATTATTAAAACAAAGGAGGGAATTGCTCATAAATAATATTTTCTAATAAAACCAGCATTAGCAAACTGATACAATAACTAGGTGACTTTGAACTTGAAATGAAGACATATTTCTGTAATCTTGTACCTGAAGTTCAGTTTTTTCCCCTGGAAGTTAATAATCCTGAACCAGTTCTTTAATTAGTAATGTCCATGACATAGGAATGTATAAAATATGTGACTGTTTAACTCAAAAGCCACCCCTTTCACATGCTTTAAAAAACTTTTTTTTTTCTTTTTGAGTTGGAGTCTCACTCTGTTGCCCAGACTGGCATGCTCATGGCCACTGCAGCCTTGACCTGCTGGGCTCAGGGGATCCTTCTGCCTCAGCCTTCCAAGTGGCTGGAACTACAGGTACCCATCACCATGGTTGGCTAATTTTTTTATTTATCGTAGAGACGTGATTTTGCCAAGTTGCCCAGGCTGGTCTCGAGCCTCTGGGCTCAGGCAATCCTCTCGCCTTCACCTCCCAAAGTGCTGGGATTACAGATGTGAGCCACAGTGCCCGGTCTGCTTTTAAAATATTAAAACCAGGCATTGAGCATACTAGAGGCACAGAACTGAGTATCAAAGAAATCTTGCTTTTTGTGGGGAGAGTTTAGACTTATATTGAATTTGTGATGTTAGTTGAGGTTGTAACCTCTGGTGCCTAGGTTTTTAACTGGTAAAACAGTCTGAGTTTTTAATTGGTAAAATATGCTGAGTTCTTTTCCCTTAATATTTTGGTTCCAGAGGATATTGCATGAATTTTTTCTTCTAATTTTAAGTGAGAACAGACTTTAAAAGATATTATGAGTGAGAGAAAAATCACAAAATGTTAATCATCATTTTACTTGGAATATGTTGTTTAGCAAGTCTGATGATGTTTCTTTAAATGTTATTTGCTTTTTGAAGTATTTGTGCCAAGGACTGGGTACTGGTAGCTTACATTTGTAATCCTAGCACTTTAGGAGGCCAAGGCTAGAAGATTGCTTGAGCCCAGGAGTTTGAGACCAGCCCAGGCAGCAGGGTGAGACCCAGTATCTACAAAAAATAAAGAAATTAGTTGGGCATGATGGCATGCACCTGTAGTCCCAGCTACTCAGGAGGTTGAAGTGGAAGGATCACGTGATCTTAGGGGTTGAGGCTGTAGTGAGCAATGATTGTACCACTGTACTCCAGCTTTGACTGAGTGAGACCCTGACTCAAAAAAAGAAAAAAAAAAAGAAAGGTTTTGAGGCAAGGATTATAACCTGGTTGATTTGCTCTTTAGAGAAGAAATTCTGCTAATATTTTAGATCTAGATGGTGGGCAAAAAAATATTAACTTTGGAATTTTTCCTGTCATTCTAGTTGTATGGTGAAATGTAAAAAAAAACCACACTGAAAATTACTTGCTTTTTTACCTAATTTCTTGTCATCTTGATATTCTTGCAACTAAAAAAAATGCTGTGTGTGTGTGTGTGTGTAAAATTTGTCAAAGTTGATGAGCATTCCTTCCTAAGTTTGTTATTTTATTTATTTATTTTTTTGAATTGGAGTCTCACTCTGTCGCCCAGACTGGAGTGCAGTAGCTGCTTCCAGTCACTGCAGCCTCGACCTACTGGGCTCTGGCGATCCTTCCGCCTCAGCCTTCCAAGTAGCTGGAACTATAGGCGCGCACTACCACACCCGGCTAATTTTTTGATTTATTGTAAAGATGAGGTCTCTCCAAGTTGCCCAGGGGGATCTCGAACCTGCGGGCTCAGGCAATCTACTCACCTCAGCCTCCCAAAGCCTGGGATTATAAGCTGAGCCACTGAACCTGGCTGTTATTTTAAAATTTACCTTAGATCTTCCGGTGTAGAAAACTTGCGTTTTTATAAAATTTAACTGATCAGTTTTAACAATTTCTGCTTTTGGTTGCTTCTTCAATCTCAGATTTCAGTGGGAATTTTCTGTTTCTGCATAGTTCTGATTTAATTGTTTTTATATTTAAAAAAATTGATTTGGAGCTTAATTAAGGTTTCTCTTTTTTGTTACACCTATTTCTTCAGTTCTTTCTTTCACCATTGTTTTATAATGCTTATCCTGTCACATTCAGTAGACTGTTGGATTTAATATTGGCAGTTTGTATTATTTGTGAGATAAACACCAAATGTTTGTGTAATGTAGCAATATATAATTTTGCTTAGGTGAGGACAGTGTGTAGGACTGAGTAACTTAGCAAGTGCGTGATTCTAGCTAGCAACCTAGCATCGCCAACTCACTATATGACTCCTTTATTTTCTAGTTACTTGTGTTGGGATATCTTAGTAAATCTCATGAATCGCTTATCAAGTTTGTTTCTTTGTGACAAAAGACTCCAGTTGGAAAACTGGTTGTGGATGTTGAGCAAGAAAGAAATCTAGACAGAGATAATTTTCATTGCGAAAAAGGAAAACTTTATGATTGATTTTTAAGTCTGTAATTATACAATGATTGAGATTTTTCAAAGGATTACTTGCCTTTTCAGGTAAAGTTTGCTTCATTTAGTAGAGTACAATGACACTGTTGTGTTAATTTACTAGCTTCCAAAGTAATGTGATATTTAAATATTGATATTCAAACAGAAACAAAACAATGGAGACAAGACTGTTTTTAAAGAATTGTGAATGTTTTAGTTTGTTGTGGACTTTAAAACAAAATATTTACCATGTATTACTAGCACATAATTTCAGGTAAGTAAAGACACTGTAACTGCTCTTTCATGGAATACTTTGGACTTTATGGTAAACTCACCAAGTTATCCTTGTTCTTTTTGCTGTGTACTGGTATAAGTGTCTTCATTGTATTTGAAAATTTGAAAATATTCAAAGTCTCAGGATGTTGACTCTTGAGTTTGAAGGACCTACTCTGTTAAATTTTCTTGAAATTCATTCTATTTCTGAGTGCTAGTCTGTTCCACTGATTTCTGGGCCAGCAGGTCATTTTAATTATTGCTTTTAAAAATGTTTGAAATTTTGTTTAAGTTCATGGTACCACTCAGCCATCTTTGTAGAATAATATACTTGATACTCTCATTGATTTTTTCCCCCCAAATGAACTTTAAAATGGTTTTTGTTGAGGTTTAAGTAAATCAATCCTGAGGTGATTTTGATTGAGAATGTAACACATTTGTAAATTTACTTGGGAAATTGATTGTCTTGCAATCTATATTCTTCCCATTCTGGAATTTGAAATGTCTCCTGCTAATCTATTTAAAAAATTAAAGCCTTGCATCAAAGGTTTGAATGTTAAATAGTAAACACTATTCTGGTGTTTTCCATAGTTTTCATTTTTTTGTGTGTGTTGGAGTCTCATTCTGTCACCCAGACTGGAGTGCAGTGGCCGCTCCTGGCCACTGCAGCCTCGACCTACTGGGCTCTGGCGATTCTTCCGCCTCAGCCTTCCAAGTAGCTGGAACTACAGGTGTGCAGTACCACACCTGGCTAATTTTTGATTTATTGTAGAGATGAGGTCTCGCCAAGTTGCCCAGGCGGATCTCAAACCCACAGGCTCAGGCAGTCCACTTACCTCGGCCTCCCAAAGTGCTGGGATTACAGGCTGAGCCACTGAGCCCGGCCTCCATAGTTTTCTTATAGTATTCACTATAATAAACTTAGTATTTGTGTTATTACCTTATTACGAAATCTTAATTTCTTAAGATACAAAAGTTCCTAGCAGTTTGGAAAGGAGTGGCTGGATATCATTAGTCACCATTATGCATTTCTAGAGATTCTCTTGAAGCTAGGAAGTATCAGTATCTGTTTCTTGCAGATGATATGCACATGTGACAAGGTATTCTGAATGTATAGGTTCAGCTAAAAGATAGCATATATCTAATGACTAGTGTGAACCTTACCAAAAACATGAATGAAAGATCTCTAATTTTTTGGTGTGGAGTTCAATAGAATGGGGTTTTACTTCCCATTCCTGAATAATTTTTTATTGTCTTGGCATTGTTTGACAATGGTTTGACAACTAATACTTCTCTTTGACTTCAAATATATTTGTGTGTCATCTTTTACAGTTGATGTTTCTTTTGTTTGAAGTAATTGTTTTATTTTTCCTTCTGACAGAGATCCATTCGATCTTTTGCCAATGATGATCGCCACGTTATGGTGAAACATTCAACAATCTATCCATCTCCAGAGGAACTTGAAGCTGTTCAGAATATGGTGTCTACTGTTGAATGTGCTCTTAAGCATGTATCAGATTGGTTGGATGAAGCAAATAAAGGCATGAAAACAGAGAGTGAGACAGAAGTGAAGAAAGATGAGGCTGGAGAAAACTATTCCAAGTGAGTGTGGACTGGCCTCTGTGATGCTGTACTGGAATGTACACAGCAGAGCTTGAAGGTCCTGCTGGATTGAGTTTGTGACATGCTGTATTTTGGGTTTTGTCACACACACGCACACACACACACACACACGTGACATGCTGTATTTTGGGTTTTGTCACACACACACACACAAACACACACGCACACACGCACGCACGCACACACGGAGTTCAAAAAAAACAGAGCGGGACCCTTGTAGTACAGGGTTTCCCCACTAGGTTAGTGTTCTAGGAACCAACCCATCAACATCAGTGTACCAGCTAGCATTGTTGTGAGAGGCTATGTTTGGCTTCAGTGAAATATTTTTGGGTATTTTTTCAGTGTAATTGCCCATTTCGTGATGGGTGATTTATGAGTGCACCTGCCCATATGGTGCTGAGTGTTTGGCAGTTTTTGACCCCAAACGGCATGATCTCCATGCCCCACCTTCCCTATTCACTTGGTCTCGTACCAAGTGACTTTTGTTTTGTTTCCCTGGATGAAAAAAAGTCCTCAAAGTGAAATGTTTTGCCAGTATGGAAGAGGTGAAACAAAAAATGGTAAGAGCACTAGAAATATCAAAATTGACGAGTTCAAAAACTTGTTTTGAGCAGTAGAAAAAAGTATATCAATAGGTGTGCTGCATCAAAGGGAGAGTACTTTGAAGGTGACTGAAGTTTAAACATGTAAGAATGAATACACAATTTTTTAGAAATAAATTCCAGTTTTTTGGGGTCCCCCTCATACATGAGAAATATTTACTTGTTTACTCATATGAGACCATAACCAAAAAAGTAAATATTACATGGAGTTTTTCTGAGTTAAATAGGAAAGCAAGAAAGGAATAATTATTAGAGCCAGAAAAAGAAGATTAGACTTGTTTAGGATCTCCTTTGAGAGTGTACCAAGTCCTTTAAAATCTTTAAAGTTTGAAAATGTATCTTTTTCTAGTGTTGGTTCAGCCTCTTAAATTCTGAAATAAATAAATAGTAGTGTTTATTATTTATGGGGAGATTATAAAATATCATTTTTGTCAGACATTTAAAAATCCTATGAAGAAAGAGTACAGGAAAATATATTTTAAAGGTATTTTTTACTATATTTACCTTGTTGATTCCCCAGAATTGATCAGTGTCTTGCATGTTGTAAATATTCATTGTATATTTGTGGAATGAGTGAAGGTCCAATGGGAATCATACCCTCCAATAATTATAGTATTCTAAGTGCTGTGACAATAGTTGATTAGTGAGATGAAACTGAATTGATAGCTAGAGACAGATCATGAAACTTTTTATGCCATGCTAAGCTTGCAGTTATTGTTTTGAGCAATTGTCACTGTGACTGGAATAAATGTATAACTTTCTTTAAAAAAATTTTTTTTTGAGTCTCACTCTGTCACCCAGACTGGATTGCAATGGCATGATCACAGTTCATTGTCACAGCCTTGACCTCCTTGGCTTAGGCAGTCCTTCCACCTCAGCCTTCTGAAGAGCGGGACTACAGATGTGTGCCACCATGCTGGACTAATTTTTTAATTTTTTGTAAAGATGAGGTCTCACTATATTGTCCAGGCTAGTCACAAATTCCTGGGCTCAAGCCATCCTCCTGCCTTGGCCTCCTAAAGTGTTGGGGTTACAGGTGTGGGCCACCACTCCCAGCCTGGAATAAGTGTATAACTTACTTTGAAAGATGGAACTCATTTGACTATACCATATTAATAGGTTTTAAAACATTACTTTGGCTTGAACTTGTAAAGGAAAGATAGAGTTTACAGAATTTTTTTCTCCAGCTTTTAATTCTAAATCAATGTGATAAGTAGATAAAGAATAGTGGAAAAGTATTGATAAATCAGTTTTCTTCACTGAAAGATAGTGTAACTTTATAATCAGTTTTTTGTCTTGTTTTATTTTGACTGAAGAACATAATTTCTTTAACTGTTTACAGGCAGTTTATATGTTGTGTCTGGCTATACTTATGTTAGTTTGAAAGTTCTTGGAAGCAGTGCAATTTTTCTCATAGGAGATGCCTGTACACATGTTACTGTCACATTTGGAGTTCATGTTCATTAATAATATTATCCAATGATCTGACTCCCTCTATGTACTCAGTTCCTGTGCAAGTTAAATAGTCACATACTCCAGATTTCAATTGCACCTTGATATGTTTTTATGTCACTTAAAAAACTTTTTTATGCTGGGCTCGGTGGCTTAGCCTGTAATCCTGTGCCTTTGGGAGACTGAGGTGAGTGATTTACCTGAGCCCACGGGTTCGAGACCTGCCTGGGCAGCGAGACCATATCTCTACAATAAATCAAAAAATCAGCCGGGCGTGGTAGCACATACCTGTAATTCCAGCTACTTGGAAGGCTGAGGCGGAAGGATCGCCAGAGCCCAGCAGGTCGAGGCTGTGGTGGCCAGGAGTGGCCACTGCACTCCAGTCTGGGCTACAGAGTGAGACTCCAACTCAAAACAACAACAACAACAACAACAATAAAAAAAAACAAAAAAACTTTTTTATTGTGGTAAAATATACAACATAAGATTTACTGTTTTTTACCATTTTTAGGTGTACATTTCAATGGAGTTCAAGCTATTTATTTATTTATTTTGCATCAGTGTCTCACTCTGTTGCCCAGGTTGGAGTGTAGTAACATGATTACGGCTCAACATAGCCTTTACTTTCTGGGCTCAAGTAATCCCTCCTCCTCAGGCTCCTGAGTGACTGTGACTACAGGTGTATGCCATCACGCCTGGCTAATTGTTTGATTTTTTTGGGATGTGGTCTCACTATGTTGCCTAGACTGGTCTTGAATTCTTGGCTCAAGTGATTCTCCTGCCTTGGTCTCCCAGTGTGCTAGGATTACAGGTGTAAGCTACCATGCCTAGTCAGGCCTCTTAAATACATTTTCTAAGGTTATTTCTTATCAAGCCTGGCATGCTTTTAGAAAGCACTCCTATAGGCTTGCTTAACTGTATGACATCATTGTATTTTAAAGGATTTTCAAGGATTATATGCTCCACACGTTCATTTGGATTTTTAAGTCTAACTCTGTGTGGACGTGCTTGTTTGTATTGCAGAGTCTTTCGATTTTGTGGAATAGTCCTTGGTTGAGCACTTGCCTGTGAACTTTCCCATGTGATGGAACTCTAGGAATACAGAATGATTCTGTTCTTATTTGCATAAAACAAGCAGGCATGTCTTTCAAGAACAGAGTTGTGCTCTGGTAATAGTCATGTATTGCACTCCTGGTATGTGTTAAGCACTCTAAAGGACACAAAGATGGATAAGGTCTAGTTTATGTTTATTAAGCACTTCCTATTGCCAGGCACTGTTAGGCAACTTTAACCTCTGCTCTCTTATTTTAATCTATTATTTTACCTTTTTATAGTCTGATTCAAAAGTCAAATTAAGTTGTACAAGATGTCACAATTTGTATTGTTGGGAATATTAGGACTTTTTAAGTAATTCATATACAACGAATTCAAATACATTGGGTTACTTTACAATAACTGCTATGTCCAATTTTTAATTCAGATTTAGGGTTGTTTGAATTAGAGCTTGGTATGTTCAATCATGCTATCATCTACATGTGGGGTGATAAGACCAAGTATATCATAATTATGATTTAGAATTTATACTTGAGCTAATAATGGCTAGCTAACAATAATTACTATTTATTGAGTGCCAGCTACTGTTCCACATTATTTTTCACGTCTTATAACAAGTTCTCTAGTGTCTATTATTGTTATCACCCTTTCTCCATCCCCATTTTATTAATAAAATTTTTCTGCTCCAAATATGCTCATGAAAAAAGAGTGATTCAGAATTATTAAGGAACTTTAACTTGCTTAAAGTCACTAAGTAAATATGTGTGATGGAACCAGGATTCATATTCAAGTCTATTTGACCCCACATCCACTTTTCTTGGCAACTCTACTTCAATTTCTCGTGATTAAAATGTGAAAGCACAGAGCAAGGAGAGATGATATGCTGGTTCTGGGAATCAAGAAAAGCTTATGAAGGAGATTAGCATTTAGAATAGGCTCAGAAGATGGGTTGGTAGGGTTTTGACTGATGGTGAAAGTGGAAGAAAAAAATAAATCTCAGCAAATCTAGATGTAAGAAAGTATAGGGACTGTTTAAATAATAATAGCTATTGTGTATTGAGCTATTAATATCTTTTGGGCTCTGGCTAAAGTTCATTACTTAAATTGTATTCTCAGTACCACTCTATGAGAAAGATATAATTCCTGTTTTACAAATGAGTAAACAGGCTCAAAGAAGTCAAGTAATTTGTAAGTTGTCCAGTGCCATACAGTAAGTGTCAGAGCCTGGATATGAAAATTGTCAGCCGGGCTCGGTGGCTCAGCCTGTAATCCCGCACATTTGGGAGGCTGAGGTGAGTGGATTGCCTGAGCGCGCGGGTTCGAGACCCGCCTGGGCAACTTGGCGAGACCTCATCTTTACAATAAATCGAAAATTAGCCGGGCGTGGTAGCGTGCGCCTGTAGTTCCAGCTACTTGGAAGACTGAGGTGAAAGGATCACCGGAGCCCAGCAGGTCGAGGCTGCGGTGGCCAGGAGCGGCCACTGCACTCCAGTCTGGGTGACAGAGTGAGATTCCAACTCAAAAAACAAAACAAAACAAAACGAAAAACAAACAAACAAACAAGAAAATTGTCTTCCAGTATGGTAAGTGTCCAAGTATTCAATGGGACACCAAGAAAAATAGTAGGTGGAGTGCCTTCCAAGAAGTGCCTTTGGAAAATTATCCGGTTGCTGTATTCTGTCTATAGTACATTGGAGATGACAGAGGTTAGTCAATAAAACCAATGAGGAGAAGCTTATTGAGATGGTCTACATGAGAGATAATAAGAACTTGAAGAAACTGGTTTAAAGGCAGTGGTTTGAAGGGTGATTATGGTGGGGGAGGGTAGGGAGAAGGAGAGTGTAAGAGGACAAAGATACAGAAGAAGAAAGAATGAAAAGTGAATGACTCTGTTCTTAATCTCAATCAATTGCCTACACTTGGGTCACTTGCTTTAAAATGCTTTTTATTTCTATACTTGTACGACCTTTATGGTTTTTCATTGATTTAGTGTTTATTGAATCTCTAAAGTGTGTCAGGCTCTGAACTCGTGGTGAATTGCTTATAACTTCCTGTCTAGTTACCACTGCCACAATTTGCTTCTCTCCCTTTTCCTTTCTCCATTTTATTCTTAACTCTGCTGATTCTTTGCTCCACTAGAATTACCTTTTTTCATCTAGCCAAATCAAGACTCTGCTGAAGTCAAACTTTAGATTGCCTTGCTTGACATTTCTCATTTTGAACTCTCCCTTTTCTGACCTTGGGAAGCAACCAGATAATATAAAGAATCTGAGTGTTGTTGTCAAACCAACTTGGGTTTGAACTTAGGCTTTGCCATTTTACTTTCTCTGTGAACTTGAACAATTAACTTTTCTGAGGTTCACATTCCTTGTCTTCCAAATGCAGGCTTATTGTGAGGTTTAAATGAGAATATGTGGTACACTTTGTTTTTAGATGTTACTTTTTCTTCCTCTTTTGTCAGGGTACTTAAACTGTTGCTGCTTTTGCTCAAGAGCAGTATATGCCTCAGGTGTAGGAGAGGCTGTATCGCCTTTAGTATGTTTTCCATACTCAGACATTCGCTTGCTTGTTGAATGACTGCTAAGCTTAGTTAATATTTTCACTTGTGATTAAGGGAAATGGACCAATAAGAACTTTTAGAATTAAATCAAGGATAGGTGAACATTTTTCTTATGCACCATTCACAACTTGATGTTCTTTGAGTGCTTTCTCTATTAGCAACTCCTGGATTTGCTCTCAGTTTATCTTTGTTCTGATCTTTCCTTCCTCAGCTTTGTACTGTTATTATAGTATTCTACTTTCCCCATAAGCTTTTGTGTATTTCTAGAATGATACAGCTAGGAGGAACCAATAGCCATTTTAGTGTTGTGGATACTGAGCCAGAAGGCACCACTGTGAGCAGAATCCAGGTCTTTTAGATTTCTACTCTGATGTTCTTTCTCAGTATACCCTGGTGTTGATGTTTCTCAGGAATTCTTTAATTACTACTTTTTAAAAAAAGGAAGTTTAAAAAGGACAATTTGAAAAAATGTTTAAGGGGATATAGTATTTTGGGTTTTCTTAAGCAATATAGATGTAGTAAAGAATTAAAAGATCTGTAGTTTGAAATATGCTCCCTGTTGAATCCTTGGGGGAAGATAGATACTTAATGAGCCTTAAATCTGTGACTAAATTCTGAGGATTTTTGAATGTCTGGATTTATATACTCTCTTATCAATTCGTATGGATAGCCAGGTTGTCAAGTGATGATTAAGTTATAGCTTGGGAAATAGGTTGTAAAAGTAATCATGCAGACTTTTATTTTTAGGGATCAAGGTGGTCGGACATTGTGTGGTGTAATGAGGATTGGCCTGGTTGCAAAAGGTTTGCTGATTAAAGATGATATGGACTTGGAGCTGGTTTTAATGTGCAAAGACAAACCCACAGAGACCCTGTTAAATACAGTCAAAGATAATCTTCCTATTCAGATTCAGGTGAGTACAGTTTAACTGCACCCTCTAGGTGAAATTGTAAAAAGGTGAAAATAGATAGTGACCTTAATGAACTTATTGACAAGGATTGGTAATAGTAAGGGTAGGCACAGACCAAATAAATACTGCTACTTTGGGTCAGTTACTAATTCATCACATTTAAAACTAACTTTTGGTGATTAGTACTCAAAATATATTTACCATATTAAGATGGCCATTCAGATACAGTCTTACACTTTTCAGTTTTATCTTGCTGAGAATCTTCATTTTTTTCAGATTAGGCCTCTCAGCATTATCAGACTCTTGGAAGGGTTGGTGTAATGCAGAAAAGAACTGAAAGATTGAGAAAAGAACTGAAAGATTGAAAAGAGCCTAGATAACTAAAGACTTTCATAGATGATACTTTCAAAATTGAAGACTCAGTTGATTTGTCACCCATTTTGTCTGTTAATGGACAGTCACTATTAATTCCTTGTCTCCAAATCTTTTTCACATTTGATGCATTTAGAAAAATTAAATGTTGGCATGCTCCCTGGAGGATGCTTCTAAAGGTTGAAGTCTCCTTACGGCTGAAGACAACTGGTGTAGGGTTCTGGTTACTTGAGGACCTGCCCTGCCAGCCTGCCCTAACTGATTGCATCACTGATTAGGAAGCTGTTATTTTCTTTCAGCTTCCGATACAGCTGAAATTAACTAGATTACAACTTTTTGATAATTTTATATCAGTTTGTCTTCATATCCATGACACACAAGTTGATGTCAACTCATAGGTCCAGACTTGTGAGTTATTGAATGCACCCTTTTCTTTCATCGTTTTTTAAAATGTGTATTTTCTAAAAAGGGCCCCCTCCCCGGAAGTATGCATTTTAAGTTTGTTTTTATTAATAGTTACTGAATCATTTTCTTTTATATTCATCAACTGACCCTCAGAACTATCTCTCTGATTTTTTAGTCTACCATTCCTGTCATTCAAATTTGTGTTACTTGCTGACATACTTTCCTATATTAATTTTGGGGCACTATTTTATCACTCTGTCTTAAATCCTAATATTTGGTTTTCTAAGTGGTAGAATATATTTGACTTTTCCACTTTCAGTTTTGATGGAGAAATGTTTTCTGGTCTTTGGTAGGGTTAAATATCTTTCTTTTTTCTCTTTAAAAGATGTTTTGTGATCATTTGGGAAAGGAGAGTGGTAAGCAACATGGGATACAGTAAAGCTTGATAAAATGGAAATCTCACTAGTGGGTTTGCTGGCTAGCTAGCGTCTTTTAGTTTATTAGAATAGTAATAAAATTCTTCTTGTTTCCAAATATTTACAATTATTATTTGTATTGTTTAGAACTTAATCTGTATTTCTGCTTTTAGTGTAGTGAGCATTGTTACTCTTGAGTCTATAATAAAGTAATAATCAAAGATCAGATATATTACAGGCTTTTTCAACCATTTCACACTTTCTGTTCCTGTAGTGAGTCTTGTTTCTTATAAGAGTGGTAATAATTCTCATCCTTGATGTTTCAGGGTGGAAAAAAGGTTGAGAACTAGTCTTATAATAAATCAGAATCCTTATTCCAAAAATCTATCGCATCTCTCCAGTTTTAAAGATACATAAGATTGGGCCAAGCGTCAGTCGACATTAATAGAGTTTTCTCTGCAGCTCATAACTGTGAACTCTGCATTGTTCCTTTCCTGGATGAGGGTCTTAACTTCTGGGCACTACAGTTTTAAAATGTTCTTGTCAGCTAGCAAGTGTTTGAGGGAGGAACCCAGGAGAGACTGCAAAATGTATAAACCATCTCAAATTTGGGGGAGACTCAGGCTTTTTAGACCAGAAATGAGGAGACTAAAAAAGATATAAATATCTTTGGGTCTTTGAAATGCTGTCACAAAGAAGGTAAAAGTGGTGTGAACTTATATGACTAATGGTTAAAATTATGAGAAGTGTATTTAGATTTAACACAGCCAATAGAGTTCTCTAACAGTGAATCTATATTTGAGTAAAGGTATATTTTCCTATAAAGTAGAGATAGATAATAATTATATACTGATCTCAGATTAAGTTATCTATATGTACACACATATACCCACATGTGAAACAGGCATTATTATTACTGTTACTAATAATATTTCAGGAACTTATTTTAAGTGTGACATACATTTAATTCTCTCCCCCCCAAGTTTTTCCTGATGTTTCTGTAGAAAAACAATCTCTGATATGATCTTATTTTCTTATGGATTAAACGTCTTTTTGTTGAGCACTTACCCTAGTAAGAATTACAGTTATCTAATAGCTTAATTAATTGAGATGGTACCATACCTTTTCTCTCCATACTCTTTTCTAGGGTGATTTTAGAACTTCTTTGAACAAAGGGAGGAGAAGGATGACTAAAACCAGAAATCACTTAAAATTAGTCTAACCCCAAAGACATATTCATATGTTTTTTACTTTGGATGTGTCTTTGGTGATCTACATGCATAACTGAAAATTTTAGTTTGATTTATTATTTGATAGACATCTTTAATGTTCTTTTAGTTGGCAAAATGAATGTGAGCAGTTTTCTGTAGTTTTTTAATATTCTTGTTCTTCTTTCATCCACTGTGTGGACTTTGCCTTCCTTGGCTTCCTCTATTCAAAATTAGGATACTGAGTTTTATCTTTTCTACTTTTTTGGGATTGTTTGATGATAAAATGCTATTTTTATGTAAACGACTTTGAATTCTTTTAATACACACTGATGAGCAGAATTCTTTTAATACACACTGGCTATTTTATGTCAAGTAATAGATACTATATTTCATCACCAAGAAAAATAGACCCTGTATAACTTACTAAATCATATATTTAATGTATAGCAATATAGTAAATATAACTTATATGATTCGAATTGGGCATTTATTTTGTGGAAGGCCCCTAGATTGTGTGTTTATAATTGTAAATTTAAAGAAGCAATGTAGGGTTTCCCTGTAGATATCAGATGACTTGTCCCATAATGACAGGTCTCACTGGAATGATCTCTATGTTATCAGAGAAGGAAGAATTTACTTGTTTATACTCAGTATCTTTTTGCTGGCGAGTGACTGTGCAGAGATCCTTTTTCATTCATGCTCTCTCGAAATACATGAAAATCTACATAAATGTAATATTAAAAATCTTTTAAAATCTACATAATGTAGTATTCATAAGTCTTTGGCAAGTAGGCGTTCCTATTTAGGCTGTTCTATCCAAAAAGCTATTGTTTTAGAGAACATTCCCAGCTATTTATTATTCTATCATAGTTCTCTATATTAATTTCAAGAACAGTAATTTATCGTTTATCATATAATGGTACTGTGGCATTTTACTTTCAAATATTACAAATAATGGCTTTAAATGTTATTTTATAATTATATGGATGACATTGTGGTTGCTTTTTGAAGAATGGTGATGCTTATAAGTTGGGAGGAGAGAAATGTTATTCCCAAACTAGAGAGTTAGTTGTATACTTTATTTGCTCTTTCAGCACAGTAATATTAATAGTTAATAACTTTTGAGAACTTACTGCAAGCATTCATTTTTTTGAGATTTCAATCAAATTAACTTGGTGCTTTTGATATTTTGATGACTTTCAGAAACTCACAGAAGAAAAATATGAAGTGGAACAATGTGTAAATGAGGCATCAATTATAATTCGGAATACAAAAGAACCCACACTAACTTTGAAGGTGATACTTACTTCCCCTTTAATTAGGGACGAATTGGAGAAGAAGGATGGAGGTACACGTGTATATATATATATATATATATATATGCATATATATATTGTTCATATTAAAGATCTCTTAAATGCTGTGATAAACTGTGTTTTATGGATTTAGGAAATAACAGTCTTCATTTGCTTTATGCCACCCATAGTATTTTACACAGCTTTTTTCCTATATAATCAATATATTTTATTAAAAAATGTATAAATTCAAAATATAAAATATATGAATTAAAAAACCTGTGCTTATCACATTGGTCTTACCTCTGCTTTAATTTTTATACTGTTTGGGTATTCTATTTTACTTTGTCTAGTATTGCATTAAGTTATTGGTATTAGCCAACTTCGTCTATGTATTTTGGCTTGCTGGTCAGATTTCAGGGTTAAATAGGGTTCAAAATATAATTGTTTTCATATTTACTCATTGTTTCAAAATTACTGACTTGCATATTGCTCTTGACTTCTAATAACTATATAACTTTGTAAGAATTATGCCTTATTTAATTGTGTGTAGATTTGTTTTATAGTATAAGGGATGTAAATTGGGGGATTGATTTTTTTTAATGAATAATCTTTAGTAAATTTTTTTCTAGGAGGTGTGTTACTCTGTTAACATTTTGAATATGATTTTTTGTGAGAATCATGCTTTAAACAAAACTTTCTTCTGAAGCTAAAAAGAATTGCTGTATGGCAGTGTCATTCTCATAAAAGTAGAGCAAGAAGGCTATTCAGTTATCAGTAGTTTTGAGAAGTAATGGTGGAACTATGGTGAACTTCTTTTTCTGATGTTTTAATCCTGTCAAGTTAGCTTGTTTCTGCCTCTCAGTCCTGTCCTTAGAAACTTGCTATGTGATATTTCTCCTGTGTCAAACCTTTGACCAACTGGCCACTCTGTCATGACAATTTAGAGCCAGTGTGGTCTATGTGGACCAGTGGGGACCCCCTGTTGCTATTTTTCATCGCTAGTATTTCAACAAGCCCCATTGCTTACTCCCCTACTCTGAAATACCAGTGTGGTAAGAAATATTGGTCAGTTTCTTAGATTATTTTAAGTTGCTGACAAGAGTAGAGAAAAATGCACATTTACCAGTGAAGTTAGATTTTTAATTTTTGGCAGACATGACTCATAGAATCACTTATAGTAAAAGTGACAGATTCCTTTTAAAATACTTTTTTAGGGCTGGGTGTGGTGGCTCATGCCTGTAATCCCAGCACATTGGGAGGTGGAGGTGAGAGGATTGCCTGGGCCCAGGGGTTTGAGACCAGCCTGGGCAATTTGGCAAGACCTCATTGCTACAATAAATCAAAAAATTAGCTGGGCATGGTGGCATGTGTCTGTGGTTCCAGCTACTTGGAAGGCTGAGGTGGAAGGATCTCCTGAGCCCAGCAGGTTGAGGCTGCAGTAGTTATGAGCATGCTACTGTGCTCCAGCCTGGGTGACAGAGTGAGACTCTGATTTAAAAAAAAAACAACTTTTTTAGGGCAACTGAAATCCGCTATATCATACCCCACAGATGTAAACTCTATACATTTATGAGTCATTTTGAAAACCAAAGTGCATCCAATCTATAATTGAGTTTATGCATGTACATTTTTAATTTTTTTGCTGTATTTAGTTATCTCTAGCACCTCTGAAGAACCAATCTTAAATGGCTTAATTTTTTTAACAGCTTTACAGTTCACCATTAACTGTAGAACTATAAAATGATTTCTGAAGTGTCAAGATAAATGTTAATTCTGGTAAGCTGTGTTCTACTTGACCCTCTAGTATAAAACCAACCATTTCTAAGTAGAGTTGTAATTATAGGTATGATGAAAAGTTATCCTAGTATAGGGAGATAAGAAAAAGACTAAAGTTGCCAAAGGCTAGGTTAATTATATGTTTGCTTGTACCTGTTGGCATTCCTTCCATTACTTCTTTGAAAGTATTAAGGGAACATCAAGCTTCTTTTTTCCTGTGTTTTTGTGCACTTACATGGGATTTGTCATAGTTTTCAGTGATTATTTTTCAGTTTAATCTGTTGTCTTTATTGCTTTAATTTATGTTTGGATAAAATGAAAACAGATTCTTAGTGTATTGTATTCTTGCTAGAACACTATTTATTATAGAATGGAATTTGTAATAAAGTAGGAGACTCATAGCCTCTGTACAGTTACTAAAGACTCCAAAGACCACTATGAGCTGAATTTCATCAACTGATGTGTGGGATCAGGTAAGGTGAGGAAATCAGCTTTGGTCTAATGTTGTACACATCTTACTTCCTCTTCTTTTGAGTGGTAGAAAGATTTGCTTTGCTCTTGTCCTTAACATCCTAGTCTTGTTGACTTACTTGATATCTTTTATAATTTGCTCATTTTGTCTAACCTGGGCTTTGTCAAAGACAGTTTTTGTTCTTTGCTAGCAGTTTGGGTATTTCAGGGCAACTTGGAGGATCCTGCATATAACTGAACATGTGAGACCTGGGCTGTACAATTCTTTTTTCTCACACTAGACAGCACCTCATCCCCTTGATGAAGTTCTTAAAGCTACATGATATGAAAGCACATGATTCATTCAGGTGCCTGGAATTTCTGGAACTGAAAGCTGTCCCCTCTACTCACTCTCTTTCTCAGTTAAAAAATTCATTCATTGTAACTTTTTTCCCCCTGGAGTATCTCAGCTTCCCTTAACCCCCACTCAAAGAGATAAACTGTTTGCAATATGTACACATCCCACATCTTTCTCTTCCCTCTCTTAACTTGCCGCATATTTGGACAGAATTGAAAAAAGAAAAAAGCATGGTTGAGAGCATGCTGATCCAGAGGACTGAGGCAAGTCAAACTTACTCCCTCAGGGTTCTCTGTGCAGAAGTGAATCTATCTAACTATGTACTCATTTCAAATCACCACGTGTATTTTAAGTTACCAGTATGTGTAGTAAATCTCTTTGGTATTGTTTATTATTTCAAGGGTGAGCTTCCTCCTCTGCTGTCCATCTTCTTTCTATTCTTACCCTTTACTTGATGGCCCTGTAGAATAACTATTTCCGCATTACTACATGTTTCTTGCTGTTGAAGGCATAGGAGAAAAAGCAGACATTGGTGTGTGGCAGCCTTGTGTTTGATTCTTAATTCCATTAGTTACTGTTGCTGTGTGACCTTGGATAGATTTCTTCATTTTAAAGTGTGGGTAATAAATACTTCACAAAGTTGTTTTGAGGTTAAATGAGAAAATTTATTTAATGTGACTTGTACAATGACTGGTGCAGAATAGTTGTTTATTACATAGTGGTAGTCACTCAGCTTATCAAAGATTCACAGCACAAACTCACCCACCCAAAATGCTTTGAGTTAACAGTGAAAATAATGTGTGCATGCTATAGGTCTGAAAAACGGAAACTAAACATGTTTCAACTCTTAAAAATCTACTAAAGGATAATATTGGAATCAGTATACTGTGTTTATGCAGTGCTAACAGTGAAAAGCTGGTATATTGTATAGCTTATTATTCATTGAGGGCAAGTATTTTTTTCCTTATCCCAGTCCTTTATCCTTAGCATCTAGCATGGTACCTAATACATAGTAGGTGATTAAAAAAAACAAACAAAAAACCAAAAAATTCTATAAATCTGTTAAATTAATTTTCATAGTCAGCATATTGTTTGATTAAATAGAACTGGCTGGTGTATAAAAAGGATTCATAGGTGTCTCATAGCTCAAGCAATATATATAATTATTTCTGTTAAGGTATTTTTATAACCTACTATGTGGTAAGCATTTCCTCATATATGATTTGTTTTAAAAACTCATACATAGCCCTATGGGGCTGATCATTGCCCTGCTCATTTATTTATTTATTTATTTTAAAGATGTGGGGGTACAATTCAGGATTAGGTATGCAAGTAGTCATTGTACAGGTTAAGTTTGGTCCTACTTGTGGTCCCCACTGCCTGGTTTGAGATCAGATACCCTTATTAATGTTATGTGCCCCCCTCCCCCATTGTCCCAGCAGTTTCTGGCTACTGCCAATCCCTTTCTTACAGTATTATGGTAAATGTTCAGGGTCCGCTTATGAGCGATGTTCTTTTAATTAAACAAATTTTTTTAGAGACAGGATCTCACTATGTTGCTTAGGCTGGTCTTGAATTCCTGGCCTCAAGAGATCCTCCTGCCTTGGCCTGCCAAAGTGCTGACATTACAGGTATGAACCACCATGCCTGGTGGTTGCCCTGTGTTGTAAATGAGGAAAGTCAAACATTTTACCCAACTCTCCTGACACTAAGTCCAGTATGCAGTCCACTCTCCCATTCATTGTAGGATTACAGCTTGAGCACTTTATCTGATCTAGTCATTCTGAGCATCACACAGAGTCTCAGCTTCTTTGGTACTTGTGATTTTAAATTAGAAGTATGTTTGCTATACAGGGGTGATAAATTATCTGTTTGCCATATTTATGATATAATTTGAAACCAGGTGGATAGGGAAACTACAGAGACTTGTGTGGCTTAGACTAAGACCATTCTCTTTAATACTGGGGTAGAGTTTCAGATATTCACAGAGGAGTTGCCCTAGAGTCCCTTCATATTGATGCCAGTGTGAACTTCTGATTCTTGTTGGCAGAAGAGCCAAGGCAAACTAGCATGTGTCTTGGTAGGGTCAAGGCAGTAGATTTTCACCGTCCAGAGATCACAAATGAAATTACAGTGATGCCGCAGGCTTTATTTTCTTGCCTTCCCTAGTTGCTAGATCTATACTATCTAGAGCAAACCTTTAGCCATTCGTTATCTTTCCAGTGGCCAACTGTCACTGAAGAAAAGTTATACTGAGTGACATTACTAAAGTAAATGAGGAGAACAGTGCTTTCTCTGTTCTACTTTATTACTACATTTATCTGGTGTAGTATGGAGAACAGTGCTTTCTCTGTTCTACTTTATTACTACATTTACCTGATGTAGTATCTATCATGTCCTGATGTTTTGCATTGACAGTGGCTTGGGGTATAATGTTTTCTCTCTAGAAAGCTTCAGGGAATTGAGAGGAGGCTACCAGGATATTCTCAGTCTAACTAGAAAATTCCGTCAGTATGAACTCAATAGCTGAGCTTCATCCAGATTATCAAGGAGCCCCTTATGATACTGAGCTCAATTATTTTACCTTTGAAGAGCCCAGGTTCCAGACATATAATTCCTATTTAACACAGTATGTTTTGGCTTTTTGCCGGCCCCATTTCCAGGCTAGTGTTTTTGTTAACAGGGGCAGATAGTTAGCTTGCATGTAAGGCATTGAGAGAAACTGACCAACATTTCCTGCAGTATGGTGTGATTCTGGTCACCGATTTAACCCCTAACCAAATAAACACAATTAGACATAACAGATTTCCAGTGCTTTCATTGTTCAGAATGTTGTATGTACCTTCATGCCCTGATGCCAGGTTACTGAGTAGTATATTTTAGAAAGCTATTTATCTTTGTTTTTGGCATTTTTGTCAACACCCCCATTCTTACTTCCTGTGCTCTTTCTTATCTGTTTTACTGGTCACTGTAGGAGAAAATGAAATGACTGACACTTCTGTTGTTTCTAATTAAGAACTCCAAGATGTCTTTTTATCTGAAAAGTTTTGCTTCCTCATAGAATTTAAACACGTATATTAAAGTTCAGAAATATTGAAGTTCTGCTCCCAAAAGTAGCAGTGTTTTCCCAATGTTTAAATGAATGAAAAAAAAGAAACTGTATTTGTATATTTATATATAAAATATGAAGCTATATTATTCATTATGTAAAAGAAATAGGCAGTCTAGGCTTGTAAGTAGTCCTGTACTGCCATACAAATTTATATTGTTTTAATATAAAAAATAACTTTGGAAAAGATAAAATGAGATGAATTATTGTATCTCCTCTGCTGTTTCCCACCACATGAATATTGAAACATTTTGGATCTTTTGACTTTCTGACTATCAGAGCATGAAGAAACATGGCCATTCTGATGGTGATGTAAAAGGGAATTTGGTGCAAGTCTTGTTCGGTGCCTGTCCCTTTCATCTCTTTTTAGTAGAATTTATTGTTACCAAATGTTGACTGTCTGTAGCAAGCTGATATTTCAATTTCTTAAAATAATAGTTTGTGGTTATAATCTGACTTTGGGATGAAAGAATTTATCAAAAATATTTTTGTCATTGTCCTCCATTAAAAATACCTGTGTCACAATTAGAGCAAGATGCTGTTTACAAACTCTGACCCCTGAATGAAAGTATTAGAAAGTACAAAAAGACTTTTGGCTTGCTTTGTCTTTTCTTGTTCAAACTTCCTCTGCTTCATTTCCCTCTTCCATTTTCTCCCTCTTTCTGACAACCCTACTTGGTAAGATGATAGAATAAAATTTAGCTTGCCTTATGGGTATATTTAAAAATTGAAGTTAAAAAAAAAAAAAAAAAAGAAGCAAGGGCCATACCTTTTATTGGGATTACATTACTTAGCAGTCAGTCAACCTTTGTCATACCTAACTTTTAAGAGAGTTTAATCATTCATTTATAGTAGTTTGTTTTATTTGGTACGTGAGCTTTACACAGATGCTTGTATTGACCACAGTTAAACATTTTGACATAAAAACATGAGTTATGTATTTTGGATCACTATAAAGACAAAATTGGACAAGTCCAGGAACTAGGTCACCTATAAAGTGAATATTCATAGTATATTTGTGCTTATAAGTAAATCCAGAGTAATAATAATCCTTTTTTATTTTCCCATTTTTATGAGTAAAAGAGGGTAATGAAAACTTGTGTTCTGATTTTGTTGGCTGGGGTTAGTGAGAAACAATGCAAATACCTGCTGTAGAGCTCACTTGGTCAGAAAACAAGTGTGTAGCACTTTAGCCTTTACAGTGTTGCAGCCAATAAAGAGAACCACAATTCTTTCTTTAATGAATTTGTTTTCCATTGAGCATTGTGCCTTTTTAAGTTAGTAACATTTCATCAACTGGACTAAACATTTAATTTGCCATAGAGCCCTCTGATAACTGAAGAAACCAAAAAGTATCAGTGTTCTTGTCTTCCGTTTAGAAATACATACATTGGGGCAACCCTCTCGGGTCACCTCCCACTGTGGGAACTTTTCTGTTCTCTCAATAAATCCTGCAAAAAAAAAAAAAGAAAAAAGAAAAAAAGAAATACATATATTGTATCAGTTGGCTCACATGCCCTACCTAGTTTATTGCTTATCATAATGGGAAGAAGTGTTGCTGGGTTCTCTTACATTTAAGAGGATTCTTAAGAAAGAGAATTGTAAATCTGACTTAATTGGATTAGACAAATAATTATTTCCCCAAGAAACATTTGCGTGTTGCATGCATTTTAAGTACCAAGTTTTAGAAAACATAAAAACCCGCTTTCCAGTGATACATTTGGCTATCTAAACTTGAGTTTAGTATCATGTGACATCTTCTCAAATATGGGTATTTGTCATTAATCATATTTGAATTTTTAATTTTGCTGTTTAGACCATGTAATCTAACTTTAAAATGTTCAAGCAAGCTGAATAGCCATTAAATAGTTTCTTTATTGATTTTTTTAAAAAGTTATATAAAACTTTAAATATATTTCAATGTATTTCATATTTGTAGTTTTAACAATTTTGGTTTAGAAAAGAAATAATGTGAGAACTCCAAGGTGATACTTGAGTTCTCAGTCATGGGGTAAAGTTTCTATTAATGGTTATCTTTTCGAATGAACTTATTGTTAAAACAAAATGTCATTCTCAGTATATCTCAAATTGGTTAGCACATAAGAGACCTCCAGTTTTCCTTAAAAACTGATCAGTGACCAAGATTTCTTCAATAAAAGAGTTGTTATTGTTATTAGTACTAGATTTTCCCTCTTTGCACTCTGCCAAAGGAAAAAGTGCTATGTACTTATTTTGTGCCCTGTGATGTAATACATGTTTAATAAGATCCCAGATTGTAAATAGCAGCTGTCATTGATTTTTTTATTGAATGAATCTTTATGCTCCATTGAACTTGTGCACAGTACTACTCTGATGACTGTTTACTTAAATAATCATAGTGCACATAATTTTTTTTTAGAGTAACAAGGCCAAATCATGAAATTTTCTGGGAGTCTTATTAGTTCACTCAAATGCTGCTGTTATTTTTTGTTGTTGTTGTTTGGTAATTTGACAGGAACTCCTTGGTCAAATTATATCTGTCTCTCTTTATCCCATTTTATCATTAGAAAATGTTTCGATGAAAGATCCACCGGACTTATTGGACAGGCAGAAATGCCTGAATGCCTTGGCGTCTCTTCGACATGCCAAATGGTTTCAGGTTGGCTCTTTGTTATTACCTTGTTGTTATTGTAGCCTTGTGCAAGTTGCATTTGGAACACCTGCCACTTATAGGTTTCTGTGTACTATTTAAAATGGGGGGACGTTTCTAACTCATAGCGTTGTTGTTGGGATAATTGAGTTAAAGTGCCTAATATAGCTTCCACTATAGTTAATGATGTTTTATAATCATATAATTCTTTTTGGCTGAGTATTCTGAATTTCAAACGGTTGTTTATAAAATCAAATATGGGCAAGAAAAGCTAAAAGTTAAGATAGTTGCCTTGAATGGGGTTGCCATGAGGCTACAAAAGCAATTTTAATTTTATGCTTTTATTTTTAATATCTGCCTTTATAAGTCTTTATTTTATACTTTTGGTAGCTTGAGATGTTTTAGTTTATTTGACAACTGATGAATGACTTGCTAATTAGTATTCACTTTAAAGAACCTGCCCATGATCAATGTGCTTAAAATGAAGAATGGATCTCAACAGGGATATTGGAATCCTTTTGTTTATTTTAGGCAAGGGCAAATGGATTAAAATCATGTGTAATTGTCCTCCGCATTCTGCGTGATTTGTGCAACAGAGTCCCCACATGGGCACCATTAAAAGGATGGGTAAGTACTTACATATGGCTAAAAGCAAATTTGGAAGGTGTAGCAGAGGAAATCCTGTTGAAATGATATGTTATTTTAAAACGGCTATCTCCTGAGTTAACTAAGGCGTGTATTAGCTATTCTTGCTGTGAAAAATATTAAACATCTTTTTTATATGAATTCTTTTATGCATATAACCTGTCACTTTTATCTTGTCATATTCATGTTATAGAGCTTGAGATTTTTTTTCTGACAAAAATGGTTCTGTATTGTTTAGAAGTGAGTGTCTTCTTACACTTGACTCTGCACTAATGGTTGATCACTTACTGATATACTTGCTGCCCAGGAAAGCCTCCTTAGCTGGCCATTTCTCTTTTGGTGCCTTCCATTACAGTAAAAATTACCTAATAGGCTGGTGTAAGAATTCTATACCTCCTATAACTTTCTTTTCCAATGGAGATACTTAACAAATAAGTTCATGTTAGTAATTAAAGTCAGGCAAGCAGTACACTTATCTCGATTATGGACATAGTTTGTAATATACATTGTAAAATTCACTTAATATGGAAATTATTCTGCCTGCCCCAATCGAGACAACTTAATAAACCTTAATTTTATTGAAGAATGTCATAAAACAATTTAAATAAAGCCCTAAGGGGTCATTTATAAATTAATATAGCAATTAGTACTTTGACGTAGTATCATGAGCTTTTAGTTTATTAAATATGGAGATTTGGCCTCTTGCTTATTCTAATTGTAGTATTTGGGGCAGGCTATCTGAAATGAAGTCTTATTTTTATATTGATTTATTAGTGGTTTGAGTGCTTCCTACATTAAGTGGGAGATAGGTGGGCTGGGTTTGTACATTAGCTAGTTAGTAGCAATTACTGACGTACATGAAGGCTTGTTAAGTCTTTGTTAAATGAATTAGATGACCATGGTTTCTTTAGTGATCTTTTCTGGGTAACTGAAATAAAGTTTTTGTTACAAAAATATTATCTCTAAAATGCTTGATTTAAAGACTGACTGAGTGAAAGTTGATAATCATGGGGGGAATGTTAAGTGGGCCCTAAATGTTAAATTGACTTTTACCTTTTGGCCTCCTTTGTAGATAGAAATATTAGCTCACATTTAACTGGACTCCTTTTTAACACTTGGTGCATGTACTAATTTGTAATTTAATATCTTCTAGCCACTAGAACTTATATGTGAAAAGTCTATAGGTACTTGTAATAGACCTTTGGGCGCTGGGGAGGCCTTGAGACGAGTAATGGAGTGTTTGGCATCTGGAATACTACTTCCTGGTAAGGGTTTCAAACTTTGGAGGCAGACCAATCAGCAAAATCTTGTGTTAGTTTATTTTTCTAAATGTATGCTAAATTTGTCTTCTACACAGGAAAATGATGTGTAGGAGTTATTTTGCTTGGAATTTTGGCAACTAGAATGCTTGGGTTGGAAAAGTATGATAAAACTTATTCAATAGTTATAATTTGTGTTATATATACTAACATTAAAGGTTACTAATAAGATACTGTGTCTGCTACAAATTTGCTTTATCTTGAACTCAGAAATTGAAATTGCAGGTATTTGGTTGAAGTGTGTGAAGTTCATTCTGTTTGTTATTTTATTTTTATTACTTATTTTGAGTCGAGGTCTCACTCTGTCACCCAGGCTGGAGTGCTGTAGCATGGTCATTGCCTACTGCAGCCTCAAACTCCTGGGCTCAGGTGATCCTTCCACCTCAGCCTCCCAGGTAGCTGGGACTGCAGGTGTGCACCACCATGCCTATGGAGTCTGGTTTTAAATTTGGAAAAGTTAAATTTGATCTTATTTTCCATATAATTCATTTTAAGATTCGAGATGATTCATCATGTTGGTTTTAAATTCTCAGAATAAGACCCAATTTTGACCTCAGATATACAGGTGACTTCCAATATAAAATAAGGACATGTGAATGCTAACATACTGAAGATGAGATAATGACCCTTACATTCCACTTAATTGAGTAGACTTTTAACTTAGTTTCTTGGTTCTTTTTCTTCATTCTCTTTCCCTCCTCCTCCCTCTCTTTGTGAGAGTTTTCTGTTCTAAACTGAGTCTAAATGATACTTTTGTTTTTCCTCTGCCAAAGGAGGTCCTGGTCTTCATGATCCTTGTGAACGAGACCCAACAGATGCTCTAAACTATATGACCATCCAGCAAAAAGAAGATATTACTCACAGTGCACAGGTAGAAGACTGGGCACATCACTGTGATTTGATAGAGAAATATTTTAACTTTATGTTCTGACTTGTTCTGTTTAAAGACTTTTTTCCTGCATGTTGTTAGTGACTTCTGCTGTGATATCAGCATATAATGAAATTTTTTTTTTTAGATAGATGTTCTAAGAGCTTTATGAATGACTATTGAAATTTGATTAAATTTTTGTTCTTTAGCATGCACTCAGACTATCTGCCTTTGGCCAGATTTACAAAGTACTGGAGATGGACCCCCTTCCATCTAGTAAACCTTTTCAGAAGTATTCCTGGTCAGTTACTGATAAAGAAGGTGAGTGTGAAAGGTTTTTTATTAGGGTTAGAGGTTGACAGTTGGTGGAAATGGTCATGGGGTGCATCTCTTGTTAGAGCTGAGGAAACTTGATAATTGGCCATCTAAGGCATGTATAAGGAAGTTTATTGCTTTTTTTCGTGACTTTTTCCTCTTCAGTCTCCATTAGTAACATCAGCTTATTCTTGTTAGTGACTGACTCATTTGACTATGTTGGCTGGCTTCTGTTACTGCATAGGCTTAGGGACCATACTGTGAGAACCCTGATCTTAAGGAGAAAAGGTAAACCATTAGGCTAAGTGGCGGCATTATTACTGTCACTAAATCATTTTGATCATCTTTCTCATGCCTGGAAGTGTTATGTAACCAAGAAAAAAAGAATAAAATTACAGAGGAGCAGAAAAGCATATTGGAAAATTCAGAACTATTTTCTGTTTGTACTAGTTTGTTGAACTTAGAGTTTTAACAGAAAGATTGTAGGTTTTGGGATCAAGATGACCTGGGTTCCTATCATAGCTCCACTTCCTACTAGTTTTAGGTCTTGCACAGTTAGCTCATCTCCTTCAGTAGGGATATTACTCTCTTTCTTACTTTATTGGCTGTTGTCAGGTTAAAATGCCTAAGTGCCTGGAATACAGCAGATACTCAAATGTGAATCTACTTACTGTCCTCCCTTTGCCATCCCCCCCTCCTTTCCTGTTATGCCAGAAGGTTGAATGTTTAATACCAGATAATCTTCACTTAGGATGCAGCCTGCCTCCAACAACTGAAATTATTGTTTTTACTATGACAATATAGTGCAAGTTGCCCAGTCTGTTTATTTAGACAACAGAATTGGCATCCCTTGTAAATAGGCCTACATACTTTTTAAGGAGTCTAAAAATGCAAATTGTTTCCTAATAATAATATTAAGTCTTTTTTTTTTCCTTTTCCACTCTTTCTTTAATATGTATAATTTTTCAGAGGCCACATATGACAATGATAGCATTGCTTTGGTGGTTAAGGAATGTTTTCTTGTATTCAAAAATTTTTACTTTAATTTCTAATATGTTAAATATTGATTCATATTACTCACAAAGCAAAGCTCTTTTGGTGCTTAATGATTTTTTTAAGAGTGTAATGTGGTCTGAGCTACAAAGTGTGACAATCAAGGCTTCACACTGTAAATTCCTCAGGTGAAGGAATCCTCTAGTTTCTACCATATTACTATTATAAACCAATAAATAAATTTGCTGAATGAAATTTGTGGAGTGAAAGTAATTTTCTTCCAGAGGGTGATTACTCAGTGGCAAATTATTAAAAGGAATTTGTGTATACATGGGACATTAAGGATTGTCTGTGAATTGCACCACTGACTACGAATTTCAGATATATAGAGTCTTAGGATTAGTAACAAAAAAATGTCATTTCAGTCTCTGAATTCCAGTCACTCTTTTAGTTTTGTGTTTTTCCCTTCACTGTGTAGTACAGTTATATCTGCTGTTATGTGACTTAGATTTTTTTTTTAATTTTAAAGATATTTCTCAAAAGTTTGGGAAATGCTGGTTCATCAGTTAATAAAATAAAACAGAATCAGACTGCCAGAGGTTCCTGTTCTAGCCTTATCAGTTACTGGCTGCATGACCTGGGCAAGTCACTTTACCATTTTGCTCTTTGGCTATAAGATGATCTTCTTCATACTTTAATGCTTTTAGCACCTAACTTCCTGTACTCACATTGAAACTTACTTTATTCCTGTAATTCTTGGACATTTCAATATGCATTCAGGTGAATTTTTTTTTTTCAAAACTCTGATGTCTTATTTTCTTGAGTTTTTTCCCACAAATGTTTTATTTTTTGCTTTATCTTAGTTGCCAGTTCTGTGAACACACACCCTAGATCTTGTCTTCATCAATAATTGTACTTGTATCTTTCCTCAATCGTGTTTTCAAGAATCTCAGTTCCAGTATTTTCTTGTCTTCATTCATTAGTATCCTTCTTTCAATTCTTGAACCTTGCCATCCATTCTGTTACATTTGTATAATCCTTCATTTTCATGTTCTCTCTTCTGTCCTTTTTTGTATAGTATTCTGTGGTCCATTGTTAGGGTCACTCCCTAGTGGATACCTTCATTTCCTTAGTTCAGTGTTTCTGGCAAAATTCTAACTGGTTGAAATTCATTTCTCTATCTACTCTTTGCCTGTACTAGGCTGCTGAACAGGGTTAGAGAAAAAACACAGCTATCTTTACTATTCTCCCTTTAAGTCTATGACACTAACCTAACAGGTACTCTTTGTGCTGTCTACAATCCTCTTATAAGTTAAGAGACTTATCTAGTTTTCCCTGTTTCACATCTTCTCACATTTCACACCTCCTCATCTATCTCTTTACTCTTATCTGATAACCTTGTTTGCTTCTGTCTTCTCAGATAAACAGTAGTCAGGAGATAACTTCTACATGTTCTCACCATTCTGTCTACCAGCCCCACTATATCTACTCCTGTACTGTACTTTGCTTTTTCCTCCCTTGCCTGTGAGAAACAGTCCAACCTTTTATCTTAAGATGGACCTTCCTACTTACCCATGATATCACATCCCCTCTTGCCTCCAATGGACATTATTGCAGCACTTATTTCTTCTCTCATCTTCTGTCTCCTGAATCATTTTCATCAGCATAAAAATCTACTGTAACATCTCCCATCCCAGTAGCTCCCTGATTCTACAGCTCCCACAACAGAATCCCATTTCTCTCTTCCCCTTTATAAAAATAGTACTTTGGGAAACAGCTGCCTTTTTCTTCTTTCTCCTTTTCATCACTTTCTGTTTTCTTTGAATCTGTTCTCACCCGGCTTTCTTTCTCACTACTCTCCCAAAGTATCTCTTGTGACCTTATGCTACTACATTGAGTGGTCGGTTTTTATCTTAGCCAACTTTTCAGCAACATTTGAAACAGAGAAACACTTTTTTCTCCTGAATTTACTTTATTATGAGGTATAGCACATATGTAAAAAAGTACAGGCTGGGCTCTGTGGCTCAGCCTATAATCCCGCGCTTTGGGAGGCCAAGGTGAGTGGATTGCCTGAGGCTGCGGGTTTGAGACCCGCCTGGGCAACTTGGCGAGACCTCATCTCTACAATAAATCAAAAAATTAGCCAGGCGTGGTAGCACACGCCTGTAGTTCCAGCTACTTGGAAGGCTGAGGCAGAAGGATTGCCGGAGCCCAAGCAGGTTGAGGCTGCAGTGGCTGGGAGCGGCCACTGAACTCCAGTCTGGGTGACAGAGTGAGACTCCAACTCAAAAAAAAAAAAAAAGTACAAAAATATACAACTTAAAATTATTACTTTAAAAAAAATCCATATAATCACCACCATGGTTAAGAAACAGAACTTTATCAGCTCCTCAGAAGCTATTCATTTTATCCCTTCCTGTTACCTTTCTGCCCTAAGAACTATAATTTCTGACTTTTTATAGTCTTTTCCTAGGTTTTCTTTATAACTTTCCCACCTGTGTATGTTTTCCTAAATAATTTAATTTGATTTTGCCTGAAACTTTCTAGAAATTGAATTTTACTAAGTGTAATCTTTTGTAACTGGCTTCTTTCTGTACAGCATTGTTTTGGATTAATTCAGGTTGCTGCATGTAGCTATGGTTTGTTCATATAGTATCCATTGTGAATATATTACAACTTACTTATTATACTTTTGGAGGACAGTTAGGTTCTTCAGTTTTTGACAACCACCTGTTATGAACATTCTTATACATGCCTCCTGATATATGTCCTAGAGTTACAGTAGGCCAGTAAATGACCTAGTAAATTGTATATATACCAATTTACACTCCCACCATCAGTGTATGAAAATTCTTGCATCCTTAACAAAATTTGGTATCACCAGACACCTTTTCTTACATGAAATTCTACTTTTCATTTGACTTTCAGATCATCACTTTCTCTTGGTTCTTCAGGCTACACAGCCATTTTCTCAGTTTTTTTTTGTTCTTCCTCATCTCCCTAACTTCTAAATATTAAAGTGTCTCAGGGTTTAGTCCTCAGACCTTTTCTCTCTTTATTACACTGATACTTCAGGGGATCTCATCTAGTCTCTTTTCTTGAAATACCTTTTGTATACTGAAGATTGTCCCAAATGTATATACTTCTACCCCAAACTACCAGCCCTTGAACTCAGACCCACATATCAAAATGCCGTCTCAGTATCTCTGTGTGCATGTCTAACAGACGTCTAAGATGTCTAAAATCCAACTCCTGTGCTCACTTTGCCTCTACTCGTCTCTCTCTCTAGTTATTCTCATCTCAGTCATTGTAAACTCTTCTTCTTTGTGCTCAGGCCAGGATCCTTTGAGTTGTCCTTGAGTACTCTTTCATCCACCCATACCTCAAACATCAGCAAATCCTGTCTGTTTACTTTTCAAGTATGTCCAGAACTCAGCTGTTTTGTTAACTTCTTCACTGCTAACATTCTTGCCTAAACTGCCATCATCTCTTACCAAAATTCTTGCAGTCATCTGCTGTGTCGTCTTTCTGCTTCTATCTTTGCCTCTGCTGTGTGTTCTCAACCAAGAAGCAATTCTTCCCCCCAACACCACTTTTTATCTTAAAGTACTTATAGATGCACAGGTAGTTGCAAAGATGGTAAGGAGAAGTCCTGTGTACCCTTCACCCAGCTTCTTCTGATACTTACACCTTATATAACTACTGTATGATATTAAAATAGGAAATTGATAGTGACATATTGTGTATAAGCTTTATACCATTTTATCATGTGTAGTTTTCTGTAGCCATCACATACATCAAGATACAGAACTATTCCATTACCATTAAGGTATTTCTCATGCCACTACTTCTTACTACTTCTCTCCCTCCAACCATTACTAATCCCTGGAAACCTCTAAGTTTCTATCCCTATATTTTATAATTTCTTTTTTTTTTTTTTTTTTT